TCTTTCTTTTGTTGAACACAAAAGAAGACGTTTTGAAAAATGCTGGTCCCTATTGACTTCCATAGTACCGTTGTTCCTTCATTAGAAGCTGATGGATGCAGGCAACCAGCATTCTTCAAATTACCTTCTGTGTTCAGTAGAAAAAATAAACTCATAAAGGTTTATAACCACATGATTAATTATTTGGGCGAACTATCCCTTTACAGGCTTTACATCATTTTATTGGGCTATTCAAGGTCTATAAATGTTGGAAAGTCCATTGCAATTACACATTGCAAATGACTCCAAAGGCCATTTGTTTTATACAAAATGTGATCTGAGAGCCTAATTTAGTGCCCGTCCAGAAAATTAAAAACAAATAGCTGTGAGAAACATAAAACAGTGTGACAGCAATCAGGTTTACATCCCAGCCATTAGGAGATTGCGTTCAAATTATTGCCCTGGCTGTCAAGGTGACCGTAACCATGTACAAAAATATATCAACAGAATGTTTAGAATATGGAGAAACAAACCTGAGGAATCAATGTGCACACAGATCAACATATGTTTCTGTATTCTACATCAGCTGCACTGAGTAATAGTTCAAATATATTTGTTTTTCTTTCAAATATATTTTGTGAGCTGTAGATTTTCATTCCTTTAGTATTTTACCTTCCTAAATCTAAACCTGCCCTAACACAGCAGTGAGAGACTGGCAGAGAATCTATTTATAGACTGTGATAGCACTGGGTGAGCTGCTGCGGGTGATGTCATCTAGTCATTTAATCACCATGTTGTGGAAGTTCTTGATGGAACAAGTCCACTACTGTAGTTCAATATTAAAACTGGTGTTGATTCTCATATAATGTTAATATTTATATGTTTCATAAAGTAAATGTGGTTTATTAAACAAGAATATTTTTGGCCAATAATTACTTTAGATTTTGTGAAACTTTCTCAAACTGAAAAGGCAGAGAAGAGCCCTATTCCTGGACATAATATCCAGCAAAATCAACCAATTCTTTTCGGCTGACTTCCAGTATTTTCACAAGTAACTCTGAATGCTGATCACAGCTTGGGTGTGGAGTTTGATTTCCTGTAATAAATTATGTCTGATATGGGAGAATGGGATTTTTCCCAGTAATTCCACTAGGGATTACAGAGGAAAGTCCAGCTTCTCATGACCAACTCAATTAGCAATCTGAACACTTTATCAATCCATTTGTTTTCAATATGTAATTTAATCTACCAAGCATGTCGCATAAACTGATGCTGGCATTTAAGCTCTCCAATTACCCTAACATTACGTCACCAGCATGAATGATTAACTGACATGATGCATTTAATGCTTTCAATGTCAGACATTCACATCATTAGATATATCAGATAAAATAAGGACCCTCAGATCTGATAGGCATCTTTGTTTGTCATTCTGGATGTTGGCTGCTGACCTGAGTCTCACACAAGAATAGTTTCAAATTACAATGTCTATATGACACTGATTCATTATTTTAAGTGGTTCATCAAAAAGCTATAGGCTTACAATGAAAATATAATATTCTGGGAATAAGCCTTTTTAACGCCACCTTTGAACTGCAGCCAGCAGTTTATTAGCCTACACTTTCAGAAATAAAGGGTGGTCCCTTCTCAAAAGGTTTACATTTGTACTTCAAGGGTCCATAGTACCTCAAAAGTATATATTTGCAAATGCATATACCTACAGATTTTAAGAGGTACACTTTTGTATTTTTTAGGTACTAATATGTATCCTTTACATCAGGGGTCACCAATCTCGGTCCTGGAGGGCCGGTGTCCCTGCAGGGTTTAGCTCCAACTTGCTTCAACACACCTGCCTGGGTGATTCAAGTATACCAAGTAAGAGCTTGATTAGCTTGTTCAGGTGTGTTTGATTAGGGCTGGAGCTAAAATCTGCAGAACACCGGCCCTCCAGGAACAAGTTTGGTGACCACTGCTTTACATTGTGTGTTTTTAAAAGGTAGCACCCCAGTGACAGCTCTAGGTACCTTTATTTCTGAGAGTGTACTAGTGAGTTTACTTTAGCATAGCCTATTGAATATAATTTAACATATGCGCAAGTTTTTATTATTCTTTGATTAGCAATTTAAGCTGGAAATACATTTGCCGCAATGTGGACAAACAGTCAGATGTCAGCAGGAAGAGAGACATTTTGAAAGCAACTGATCTTTGAGATGGATCATATACGCTTCTTTTTTACAATTGTCATAAGACAAGTAGGCCTATGTTGTTTGACACTTTGGTGAAAGATTTTGATCTCCTTAAAGCACAGACGTCAAACTCAGTTCCTGGAGGGCTGCAGCTTTGCACAGTTTAGTTCCAGCCCTAATTAAACACACCTGATCAAATTAATAAAGTCCTTCAGGCTTGTTTGAAACCTACAGGCAAGTGTGTTTGAGCATGGTTGGGACTGTGCAGGAACTGCGGCCCTCCAGGATCTGAGCTTGACACCTCTGCCTTAAAGTGTTGATTACTGGAGTTTGAATTAATTTTCTGGGCAAGACACATCACCATAGTACAGAATAGCCATCTTTTTCTGCGTTATTTTGAACTTACGATAGAGAGGCTGTTGAGGAGTGCACAAACGTCAAGTTCTTTTTCGGCCCCAGATTTTTTCCACATTAGAATTATACTCTGGTTTCCCATTTGAAAAAGCTCATCAATGCCCTAAGAGCCCTTCTGAACTGAACGAAGTGTGTGAAGCCAAATTCACTAAATTTCCCTACTCAAAGGATCTTCAGAGTGAAAACAATCATGACCACCATATTAAAGTGTCATTCCAAACTCAAGTGCTCAAAACTAGTCACTTTCAAGGGCTCTTTGTAATGAAGGATTTCAAAGGTACAACACTATGAGTGGTTACTTAGATTAACATTATTATACAAGTATAAACGGTCATCTTTTTGAAAAGGTTTATTTCTGAAAAAGATGTCAACAGCTCCATAAAGATAATTTTACACAAATAACAAGAACAGTGTGCACACGTATAAGGAAATTTATGCAACAATTCAAGAGGTAGCAAATGATGGTCTTGTGTGTGTGTGTATATAGAGGTGACACGATGACCTTTCAAAATGGCACAGTACCTACCAAACCTTTGCCAATCATTTGTCTCTATAAGCTTCAGCCGGAGCCAAACACAGAAAATCCAGAACCAACAGAGCTCTAGTCCTAAAATCAACTGTCAGCCTACGCTCTATCACATAAACATAACACCAAATTCCAATCTTATTGTGGGCGTCATTATTACTACAATAAATGAACAATCGCCCCATAATTGTTAAGTATATGCTATATTAAAATTCAGCTAATATAAATTGGAATAAAATTTAAAGGTAGCTTTAAATCAATCTAATTTGTATTCAAACTAATTTGTAACTTAAAAAGTCTTTTAGTTTGGAGTCTGTGCTTTTGGCTGTGGTGTAGAAACTTAAAAAGAGATAGTTCACCCAAAAATAAAAAACTACAATTAAATTACAATAATCAATAAACAATGACTTTTTTTAGCTCAACCTGTGGTCCTTGAGGATTCATAAAATGCAATTCCTCCATCCCCATTGTAAACTCTATCAATTCTATTTTGCCTTCTGAGTGCTGGTAGTTGTTAACTTACATTTTATGAATCACCAAAAACACAGTCTCAGTTGAAAACTTCACTGCTGCACAAAAGAAAAAAATCACCAACATCTAGATTGCACAAAAGGTGATCAATTTAACAGTATGGAACAAAATCAGTGACAAAAATATTGAAATGAAAAGCTTGCTGAATGGCACTGACTGAAAAAATAATACATTGAATTAACAACTGCTTGCATTTGAGTGACTTGAATTGTAATTTAGGCCCTAAAATTTAACACAGCTGTGAATATTTCAATTCAAAACACAATTTGATACTTAAATTGAATAATTCACATTCAACTTCAAGATTTAACTTCCAAAATATTCAGTTCTGTTTACAAATACAAAGTATAATATTCAAAAGACAATTTTCAGTTCAAAAATTTGCTTCCATAAAATCAGCGTTTTAAATTCAACTGTTAAAATTCTACATTGTATCCAGGAACTGCAGGAAAAGCGATAGATTGCAGATAGCAGATACGATAGACTGCAGATTGCTTTTTCACCAGCAGGTAGAGATGGACCAATTTAAGATTTTTAAACTGATGAATAGGTGAGGGAAAAAGCAAATAACGGCACAAAAATTGCATTTTATATAAATATCAATGTCTTGGATATTATAAGTAGACTAAAAAAAGGATTATGAGAAGGCCTAAAATGAGTAAATGTAGATGTTTTGATGTTTATATTTGCCCTAATGTATGGAAAGCCAGCTGGGGATCACGTAAACCTCATTTTTTCAGATCTCAAGTGATTACCCAGCAATCTTTTTCCTCCTCGTTGATTGCTCCCATTCCGATATCGCAGGTTCGCCGAATATGAACACCTGAATTTATGGAAGCAAATTTTTGAACTGAAATAAAATAATCTGAAAACCGTCTTTTGAATATTATAACTTTGCATTTTTAAACAGAACTGAATACTTTGCAAAGGAAATCTGGAAATTTAATGTGAAGTATTGAATTTAAGTATGAAATTATGTTTTGAACTGAAATATTCACAGCTTAAATAACAGTTGTGTGAAATTTCGAGAGGGGTCTGGCTGCAGACCTGGTGCAGTGCAATCTGGGCTGCATCCAATGCTTTTTAATGGGCTCACCTAACCCCACCCCTAACCCTACCCGTCACAGTAACGTCACTAGCTCCATTTGAGTGCATTGTGTCTGACAGTGCATCGCTGAGTGATGCAGTCTCAGCTTGCATCATAAAGGCTGCATGCAGATACTATTGGAAATTTTAGGACCTAAATTACAAACCCCACCAATTCAAGTCACTTAATTGCAAGCAGTTGTTGATTCAGTGTATTATTTTTTTTAGTTAGTGCTATTCGACAAGCTTTTTATTTCAATGCCTTTGGCATTGATTTAGTTTCATATAACAGCATATTTTCATTTTTGGATGAACCCATACAATTAAAACCAAACCAGAACCTAGATCTGGTCTGTGAAGGTAGAATGTAGAGACAAAAAAATCCTAATGTGGAAGTGGAGAAAATTTAAGTCTACTAAAGTGGTTGTAATCTTATAAGAACAGTGCTTCACATCTAAAATGAATACCCAAAACCTCTATGTAAAGTATCTCCTCATCAAATATTGCACGCTAAAACATCCTTCAAACTATTCTCACCATTCCAAGCAACTCAGCATATGGCTTGCATTGTGATGCAGTTTGTGCTGTCGTTCATATATAAAATATCCTAAAGCGCAGACTAAACTCGTCTTTTGAGTGCAACTATCAGGTTTAACATTCGCCTGTTATGTGCACAAATGTAAACATCGCTTGTTCGTCCTTCATTTCTTTTTTGGCACATGAATAGATTATTATAACTCAAACAGAAAAACTATTATTGTAAAAAAAAAACAATGAACAAGCAGCGATTTTGAAAAACAAAACACTACTGTACAAAGAGAGGAGACTCCTTCTGTTTAGGCCATCTAACCTAAAGCAGTTTATAGGTGTGTGCTTTTACCCAGTCTAATAAGGTTTACTGGCACATACAAGGCATATGGAACACACAAAGAAACTCAGGCACGCAGAACCTACTTGGATGCATTATATAAACTGGAGAAAACGAAGAGAGTATGGATACAGTAGCTCCAGCAGTGTTATGCTTCACATTGTCAGTCGACTCGATACTGGAATATTTTGTAGAACACGTCTCTAAGAGTAGCTGGTTGAGAAATGCCCTGAGTTCACACTAATGGTCCTTTGGAGGCCAGTTTTGGGTGAATGGCATATTAAGAAGATAGAGAGGCTCTGATTGGCAGATCCATGTGTCAATCCTGTTTTTGGCCTCGACAGACACTCCTTTACCCAATCTGAAGCACCTGTTTTGAGCTGAGCCTCTCACGTTCTCAGCTTGAGAATGATGGTCGCCAACATGAGGAAGAATGTGTTCCAGCCAAGGGTGACTGCAAAACCTCGCCAAACCATCATGCGGGACAAACCCCATCCTGAATGAGAAATCAGAGAATCAAAAGAGGAGCAGAGTCATGACAGATAGGAAATCAATGTAGGCTCATGATAAGAAAACTCTAATTTAACTTTAATTTGCGGAAGCTGTTTTGTTTTACATGAGAAAGGAAGAATATTCACCTTATAAAGGTGAGTATAAAATCTATAAGTAAACAGTCTGGCTGTTTAGGGCATTAAGGAAATAGTACTTTTATGAAAAGTGAAACTATGACTATAAATTTCAACAATTTTCAATACAGAATGTTCAGGTCTACGTTTATAAATTTCCATTAAATTGTGACTATTGTAGTTATTGTATTTAAAAATAAAATAATTAATATAATAAAAAATTTATATAATACAAATTATTTTGTAAAATAAGCATTAACTGAAAAAATACACACCTAAACAAATTCTTGCCTAATCCGACTGCCAAGAAATGATGTCTAATTTAGTTTTTAATTAGTTTAACTAGTGTTTAGTTAAAAATAAATAAATTAAATGTAAAAAAGATTAAATTAAATTGCAACAACTAAAATACTAAAAGTTTAAAATTGAAACAAAAAATATAAAAATAAAAACTCAATGCAAAATATTACCCTCCACACTCCCTGGACCAGAAACACTGGATGTATATGTTCTTGGACATTGCAAATATGGAACTGTCTGTGACAAGGATCCATGGCGATTTAACAATAACTATGACCTCATGGATTTGTGCAATAACTAAGATAAAAGATATGCTATTGTGATTTTTTTCTTTGCATTTTATTTAACGTATGTACAAATGTCCAATGTATCTACCTTTGTTAAAATTGTTCTTGTAAGAAGTTAAATTCAGAGGTAAATTTATTTATTTAATTTTTTTAGTTGTTTATTGATAAGTAATATAACTTTTTATTATTATTATTATTATTATTAGATAGTACTATTATAACTAGATACCGGCTGTGGTAATTTCTAAAGCTTTAAAAATTAAATTAAAAACTGTAACGAGGTCCATTCTGTCATTTTATATAAATCATGTGTGCATGCACTTGAACCAGTGACAAATCATGAGGCACTATGATAAACAATATCCAATAAAAAAAAACGTTTAGAGGTGCGCGCATATTTATATCTCCGTATTCCAGTACTGATAGAAGTGTACTCTCGACTAGACATTTTTGAGCTGCAAATATTACCCTATGAGGCATTGATTCTGCAGGTAGCATCTGTGCACAAAGGCCCCTCATAGGTCGCATTTAAAAGCTTTCCAGCAGTTTTATTCATTTATATTTTATATCAATTTATCTTTACACTTTTTAAAATTTCAGTAATCTAATTTTTAAATTAAATTTTTAAAATAATTTTATTGATTTATTTTTATTAAGTAATTAGCTTTAATTTTATTAAGTAATTAGCTTCTAAGAAACCAGTTTTTACTTTTCATTAGGGACTGAGAATGTGTGTAGGCCCTACTGAAAATGCTCCGTTTATTTAAATTTTGTATTTATGTTACAATTAATACTTATTTTATTTATATTTTTCAAAATTTAATCAATAGATTTTTTTTGCCACTGCTGCAGATTAATGAAGGGGAAAGCCCTGTTTGTGTAGTCTGCACATTTCCAGTCTCAGCTCTGATCTCCCCTCAACAGACAATCAGCCTCAGTGGGTATGAACTTGAACTTGAGCTGTGTGTGTGTGTGTGTGTGTGTGTGTGTGTGTGTGTGTGTGTGTGTGTGTGTGTGTGTGTGTGTGTTTCTCTAAGTCTCTGAGCAGAGCAGGCAGGTACACAGCAGTGTGGTCGTGTGTTTAATTTAGGAATGGAGGCAGACGCTCCTCCTGCTCTGTGAATAATTGAGACGTGAGAGTGTTGGGTGTCCTGAAGTCTACTGTAACCCAAGATGTTTGTAGCACAGGGAAAATGTTAGATGAGTGGGACTTCAGAGGAGATTACTGTGTGTTTGTGTGGACTGAAGAGACGTTATACTTCTGAAGTTTGTTGGTAGGAGATTAGCTTTGAGGTTTGCTAGAAACAAGATTATAGACACACCATTTCCATGAATTGTGAAAGGTGAGAAGACTCCACCTGTACTAAACATTGCAACTGTAAACAACATCCACCATCTGGACTTTACATGCACACATTTGAGTTTGTTGCTCATTTTATTTTTATACAGAGTTATTTTGGGACATTGAAAGAAGATGTACCGGCTTAAAAAGTGACAATTAAATTCTAAATATGCCTTATGTCAACAATAATAACTAAATAACAAAAGGTAATGCTTCATTCTAGAGTCTTTGTTGCATGTGCTTGAAATTCTAATAGAAAATCTTGCATAATTGAAGCTAATAACCCTAAATATAATACCGTTTATTAGAACTAAATAAATCTGAATCTTTTTTTATTCTAATAAATAAAATATTTACATATTTTTTATATTTATTTGACATATTTTAAGGAAAATAGAATAAATATTTATATTTTAATAAACATATGTGTTAAACAATTACATACGATATACTTAAATTAAACAAATAAATTCTAAAATATACTTTAATATTTTAAAATATACTTTAATACTATAATATTTGCTATATAATTAAGAAATAAGTCTATAGTCTATATGGCATATTTTAATTTCATGCAGTTTATATGTAAATTAACATATTCTTTAAAAATACTTTCTACATATTAATAAATATTATTTATTTAAAGTAATTATGATAAATTACTTGGCAGCACTAATCACATTATATAGACTATTTTAATGTGGTGATGTCATTGACCCATGAACATTTGCTGCTTGTTAACCATTTCATAACTGTAACAAAAGGCAATTCAATCATGCCTTAACATAAAAAAGCTGTCATAGCATTATTTTTCAATATGTGGACGTTTTTGGATTCTCAGAAGATATAAAAGTTAAAAATGTAAAACAGGAAATACATACAGACCATTGTTATTATTTAAATCCCTCAAAATGGTCTATAGATGTATGATTATAGATGTACGAGTGGTCATACTGTACCTCTGTACATGATACAGCGCAGAGCTTCAGATGCATATGTCTGTGGCAGGACGAGACTCAAATATCGCAGAGGATATGGGATACACTCAACCGGCCAGATAACACCTACAGCAGTTAGACAGAGAAGCAGACAGATGACTACATTCATTAAAGCAAATCGCCTCCCGAACACTTTCTATGTGTATATTTTAGTAGTTACTAGTGTGTCTGTGTTGCTTGAGCAGAAAACTACAAATTAGTTGATGTGAAATATGAAGAGCAAGTGGGATCAAGACCTCAGAATGTCCCTTTACAGTGCTCAAATAAATTTACTTTCCATTGTTATCTAAATCGTGAATCATCATTCACATTATTTATTTCATTCCACTATCAATCAATCAATCAATCAATCAATTCACATCACATAATTTAATGAACTGGATATTTTGAACACCCAAATATTTTACCCTCGAATGGCTCTTATATTATTTGTTGGATTGTACCATTTGTGGAGGGAGAAATGAAAAAAAAATCCTAAAGGCATAGTTCACCTCCTCAAAAAAAGAGAAAACTTAGTTATTTACTCAATACCCACTTGTTCCAAATTTGTTTGCATTTCTCTCTTCTGTTAAACACAAAAGAAGAAATGCTTAAGAATGCTGAAAACGTAGCAATTGATGTCTATAGATTTTGTTCATACCATAGATGTCAGCACCTACTGATTTCCAAGTCTTCAATCATTCATTCATTTTCATTTGGTTTAGTCCCTTTATTCATCAGGGGTCGCCACGGCGGGATGAACCGCCAACTTATCCAGCATATGTTTTATGCAACTGATGTCCTTCCAGCTGCAACCGAGTACCGGAAAACACCCATACACTCTCACATTCACACACATACACTACAGCCAATTTAGTTTATTTAATTCACCTGTACAGTGCATGTCTTTGAAGCCCGAACACTGGGAAAACATGCAAACTCCACACAGAAATGCCAACTGGTCCAACTACTACTCTAACCTGCGACCTTCTTGCTGTGAGGCGACAGTGCTAATCACGGAGTCTTACAAATCTTATCTTATTTAGTGTTCAACAGAAGAAAGACAGTGGTTGGTAAATCTTCAATTCTGGGGTGAAATATCACTTGCTGCATCAGTTCTGGTGTAAAGGTTTTAAAGATAACTTAAAAATAAAATATCAGTAAAAAAGAGAGAGATGTGAGAGAGAGAGATGTGAGAGAGAGTTGTGAGTTGTACCGCTTAGAATGAGGTTGGGGTAGAAGACTCCAAGAGCCGCCTGATTGGCTGACTGCTCGTCATCGATTGCAGACGAGATGACCAGACCAAAGGAGATCCCCGTCACTCCCTGCAGCACAATCAGTGAGATCACCAGAGCCAGAGAGCCTTCATTAGGAATCTGCAACACACAGACAAAGACACAATAAACATGCTTATAATAATCATGAGAGAAAGATCAGATAAAAACTGTATTTAATTTTCCACTGCACAGTTTGTAATCACATTTTTCAGGTTTGAGATAAAATGTTAATAATATATTCAACACATATATTAAAATATACAATGTGGATTGTGTCCAAGCAGCTTAACATAGAAATTCTAGTAAAGTCCTGATTTCAGAAGTGAAGTTCAGTTCAGTTCAGTGTGGTTTAAATTTCACTGTTGAAAGTCCAAACACTAAAGAGCAAATCCATTGATGCACAGCTCCACAAGTCCCAAACCAAGCAAGCTAGGAAAAAAGAAAAAGAAAACTTCACCAACTGACGAAGTGAAGGAAAAAAAACATTGAGAGAAACCAGGCTCTGTTGGGCAGACCATTTCTCCTCTGGCCAAACTTCTTATGTGGAGCTGTAGTCTAGGCGCCGGAGGCTGGAGAACGCTGGACGTCCATCGTGGAGAACAAAAGGTGTGATGTGGGCTATAAAATCCTAATACTAAGGGAATACTGCTATGCATAATTGCTATATAGACTATAATTCTCCAACCCATGTTTTTTTCATTTTATTTTCTATAATAAAAAAAACAAAGTTTTGTTGCCTCATGATTTACAGGAGACATCCACTAAAATGTCATTCAGTTTATACATTGGCCATTATTTGCTAAAATATTAGAAGACTGCATTTTGGGATCACCCTAAAATACAAATGACCTGTTTACCATTTGTACAATTTGTCAGCAAGGTATTTTTTAGCATTTAAAAAAAGAATGTATGTATATTCACTTATCTTATTAATAAATGAATGAATGACTGAATGAATTATTAATAATAACAATAATACAACAACAATACATATACAGTTAAAGTCAGAATTTTTCGCCCTCCTGTTTATTTTTCCCTAATTTCTGTTTATCATAGAGAAGATTTTTTTCAACACATTTCTAAACATAAATAGTTTTAATAACTAATTTCTAATAACTGATTTAATTTATCTTTGCCATGATAACAGTACATAATGTTTTACTAAATATTTTTCAAGACACTTCTATACAGCTTAAAGTGACATTTAAAGGCTTAACTAGGTTAATGAGGTTGGGGTAATTAGGCAAGTTATTGTATAATGATGGTTTGTTCTGTAGGCTATCAAAAACAAAAATGTAGCTTTAAAGGGCTAACAATTTTGACCTTAAAATGTTTTTTAAAAAATTAAAAACTGCTTTTATTCTAGCCGAAATAAAACAAATATGACTTTCCACAGAAGAAATAATATTATCAGACATACTGTGAAAATTTCCTTGCTCATAATTTGGGAAATATAAAAAAAATAATAATTTAAAGGGGGTTCAATAATTCTGACTTCAACTGTATAAATATAATTACAGGCTAGAATGAGTATGTAGTGCACTATTGGTCAAAAGTTTGGGGTCAGTGAGATTTTTAAATGTTTTCAAATAAGCTTCTCCTGCTCACCAAGGATGCATTTATTTTATTACAAATTCAGCACAGATTGTAAAATTGTAAAATGTTATTGTAGCAAATAATTGTTCAAAAGTAGTTTAATTTATTTTAATAATTTATTCCAGTGATTTTAAAGATGAATTTTCAGCTTCATTACTCAAGTCTTCAGTCACATGATCCTTCAGAAATCACTCTAATATTAATTATTTTTATTATTATTATTATTACATTTACATTTACATTTACATTTAGTCATTTAGCAGACGCTTTTATCCAAAGCGACTTACAAATGAGGACAAGGAAGCAATTTACACAACCAAGAGCAACAATGAATAAGTACTAAAGGCAAGTTTCAGGTCTGTAAAGTCTAAGAAGGGAAGTGTTAGTAGTTTTTTTTTTTTTTTTTTTTTTTTGTACAATTAGTGTGATATTCAAAGAGGCAATTGCAGCTTAGGAAGTGAAGTGGAGACTAAATAGTTGAGTTTTTAGTCGTTTCTTGAAAATAGCGAGTGACTCTGCTGTTCTGATGCAGTTAGGGAGTTCATTCCACCAACTGGGCAGATTGAGCGTGAGCGTTCGCGAAAGTGATTTTTTCCCTCTTTGGGATGGAACCACGAGGCGACGTTCATTCACAGAACGCAAGTTTCTGGAGGGCACGTAGATCTGCAGAAGTGAGTGCAGATAAGAAGGTGCTAGGCCAGAAGTCACTTTGTAGGCAAACATCAGAGTTTTGAATTTGATGCGAGCAGCAACTGGCAGCCAGTGCAAACGGACTAGCAGTGGAGTGACATGTGCTCGTTTAGGTTCATTGAAGACAACTCGTGCTGCTGCATTCTGGAGCAGTTGAAGAGGCTTGATAGAGTTAGCTGGAAGCCCAGCTAGTAGAGAGTTGCAGTAATCCAGTTTGGAGAGAACAAGAGCTTGAACAAGGAGTTGAGCTGCATGTTCAGATAAGAAGGGTCGGATCTTTCTGATGTTATAGAGTGCAAATCTGCACGATCGAGCAGTTCTAGAAATGTGGTCAGAGAAGTTTAGTTGGTCATCAATCGTTACTCCAAGGCTTTTCACCATTTTGGATGCAGTAATGGTTGCCCCATCCATCTGGATTGAAAAGTTATGGTGTAGAGTCGGGTTGGCAGAAACTACAAGCATTTCCGTTTTTGCGAGGTTCAGCTGAAGATGATGATCTTTCATCCAGTGTGAAATATCCAACAGGCAGGCTGAGATACGAGCTGGAACCGAGGGATCATCAGGATGAAAAGAGAGGTATAGCTGGGTGTCATCAGCATAGCAGTGGTAGGAGAATCCATGTCTCTGGATGACTGGTCCTAGAGATGATGTGTAGATGGAGAAGAGAAGTGGCCCAAGAACAGAGCCTTGAGGTACCCCAGTGTTTAGATGCTGTAGGTTGGACACCTCTCCCCTCCAAGACACCCTGAATGACCTGTCAGAGAGGTAAGATCTAAACCATTGTATAACAGTGCCCGCAACGCCCAGTGACTCAAGCGTAGATAGCAGGATCTGGTGGTTCCTGTTATTATTATTATTATTATTATTATTATTATTATTAGTAGTAGTAGTAGTAGTAGTAGTATTCATATTATTATTATTATTATTATTAATAGTAATAGTAATTAAAGCACTAATGACTGAAGCAATAGTTTCATATGAAACTACATACAATATGTAAGCAGGTATTTTACATTTTTATAAATATTTAACAAATTAACAAATTTTAACATTTAATAAATGCTGCCTTGATGAACAGAATAATTTTCTTAAAAAAAAACATGAAAAACAAGAAACTTTTATATAACATATTAAATTACTAAAGCTACTTAAAATTAACGGAATGAATAAAACTGGCCATCAAAATAAGTGTATTTTGTGTTTTCACATAACATTAATGTAATGGAAAAATTTCATCTGGTTGATTTATTTCACACATTTATTTCAGTCTGTAGTACACATACCTGTGCATTTCCTGTAAAGATATATTTCAATCTCTAGGCTGTATACAGTAAAACATACCATTTTAGCATTGTGTTGCAAAAACAATACATATGTGTAATATTTAACAATAGGTTGCTGATTTAGTCTGATTCAGTCATCAAGGAATGCTGGCATAACACAAGTCCAGGAACCTTAAGCAAGTGTGAAGTGTATGTTTTGTGAAGTTCACAGCTCTTAAAGTGTGATTACGCAGCACAGTCAATGCAAGTCAATGCTTTACAGAAATAGAATCTGTAATCTACAGCCGGCTCTGTTACCAAAGCAATCCCTTTGTTGCTTCGGTGGTCAAGAACAAATCACCAGCAGCGAAGCAAGGAACTATTTATGATTAAAAATATTTATATGGCTCAGTCTCAGGGCTGTTTCAAAAATTTACAGAGCTCATGACAATTCACAGAGCTCAAATCCCCCTGATGAAACCCTAGGCCAACCTGACATGCTTATGAACATCAGTGTGAGAAGATCTTCGAGAGCCTCTAAGGTCAACATATCTGGAAGGAGCTAGACTTTTAATGCATTTCAAGGATTTAGGCATGTATTCAGTCTAGATATTGATACACACATGCACTGGCATTGGGAAGATTTAATTTAAATTCATACTTAACAATAATGTATTCATTTACAATATTACAATTTTCGTAATGAAAAGTTTATTTTCTATTTCAAATAACTAGTTTTTTTTTTAAATTGCTAATAATTAGAGGCATTCCTTGTCCTATGTTCCATCTACGGGTTGGAGGAAAATTCTTACCCTAGATTTTGTTCACGAATGAGTCAAAGATGGAAAGCAAGATTGATAGGCGGATCGGTGCAGTGGCAGCAGTAATGCGGTCGATGTACCGGACGTTGTGGTAAAGAAGGAGCTGAGCCAAAAGGCAAAGCTGTTGATTTACTGGTCAATCTATGTTCCTACTCTCAACTATGGTCATGATGAGCTTTGGGTCATGACCAAAAAGATAAGATCTCAGATATAAGCAGCTGAAATGAGTTTCATTCGCAGGGTGGCAGGGCGCACTCTTATAGATGAGGAGCTCTATCACCCAGAAGGAGCTCAGAGTAGAGCCACTGCTCCCCACTGCCACTGCTAAAAGATGTTAGTTGAGGTGGCTCGGGCATCTGTTTCGGATGCCTCTTGGACGCCTACCTAGGGAGGTGCTTCAGGCATGTCCCACTGGGAGGAGGCCTCGGGGATGACCCAGGACACGCTGGAGGGACTATGTCTCTCAGCTGGCCTGGGAACACCTCGGGATCCCCCCAAAGAAGCTGGAGAAAGTGTGAGGAGAGGGAAGGTTCTCTCATAAGATTGCTGCCCCCATGACCCAGCCCCAGAAAAGCGGATGAGAATGAATGAATGAATTAGAGGATCCTAGAAGAAAAACTTTTATGGTTTCCACAAAATGCTATGCTAATGCTAATCAGAAGAAATTGTTTTCTGAGAAAAAAATCAGCATCAATAATTTTATTTGTTTTGAGAATGATGCTGAAAATTCAGCCTTGGCATCATAATTATATGTTATACTATAAAGAGTGTATTATTCTTAAAAATTTATGAAAATATAATATTTTTAAATAGAAGTAAAATAGAACTATTTCACAATAGTACAGCATTTTTTAAGTGACTTATCTTTGGTAAGTATAATAAACTTCGTTCAAAACTATAAAAAGTAACTTAAACATTTTGAACAGCAGGAAATAAAACATACCCAGATGGCAGCTTGAAAAAAAAATTGTCCACAAATTTCTAATTATTTAGTTATCAAACAAAACATATTCTGGTAAAAGAACCCTCCTAAAAGCTAAGATGTGATAATTTGATTGGCTCTTTGACTTGGCAGATTTGGCTTTAGACTGCTTTGGTCTTGTGTAAATCCGCTACTGCAGACCTCACAGCAGGTCTCTCTGAAATTATGTCTCCCTATGGTAGACTCGATGTAAGGCAAACACCATGGGTGGCTTTTGGTAGGGATTTTTGATGTGTATGTTTAGTATAAAATGTAATTACCCTTCTACTTATAAATAGAAATAAACAGAAATAAACATAGATTCAGCATTAGCTCTAGTTTATGCTATAGACACTCACATACAGATCTTGAACCTTGAGACACACATTTAAAGTGTTAATGAGAGATCAACAAGCAGCTGACAAAAACACACACACACACACACACACACACACACACACACACACACACACACACACACACACACACACACACACACACACACACACACACACACACACACACACACACACACACACACACACACACACACACACACAGAGAGACACACTCACGTTGAAGACCAGTAGAGTGAAGATCAGCAGAAGGATGATCTGAACACTGATGACAAACAGCTGTGAGAAGAGGTGTGCGAGCATGGTCTCCAGAGAACTTACACCTTCAGAGAAACACACATACATCTATCAAACACATGAATGAAATGCCAACAAGATCACACAGGATAACATAACAACCTGCAAATTAAGCAAATAAGCACTCCATCTTGAGTAAAAGTAGGTTATTGCTGAACAATTTATTTGGTTAAAGGATGAGCTTCTAGACTGAAAAAAAGAACATAACTATGCTAACATTATTAGCTAGTTAGTCGCTCAGTGGCTTTAAACTAATGTGAATGTGTGCAATCTCATTTGTTTGAAAATGTTCTTTTTCAAAAAACACTTTAAAAATACAGGATTCCACACAATTCCTTCATGTGTTCCCAACACACATTGATTAAGTTAACTTAATTGTTCTGTTCAATCAAATTAAATTTGTAAAAACATTTAAGTTGTACAACCAAAAAACTGGACAATTGTATTGTTTCATTTTAAATAAGTTGTTTGTACAAGCATGTAAGATTTTTTCCATTAAAATATTTAAACAACAAATGTAGAACATTGTTATAAGTTTTAAAATAAGCAATTTTAACTAGTGACTTGATCCATGTTCTGTGTTATCCAGTGTTGCCAGATATAGCTGATGTCTTTCAGCCCAAAAGTTGTCCAAAACCCACCCAATCGCACAAAAACGCACCCAAAAATTAGATTAATATTTTATTTAATTTTAATTTATTTAAATCAGAAATTAGCTAATTTGTATAATAATTTGTTACTTTAATTGTCAGACTTTAACCATATAGTGTATATTGTAAACAAATTACAAACACCAGCAGTCACAGAACCACAATAGTAAAATTTCAACATAACTGGATCACATCACAACACTGCACTTATTGTTCTGTAGATTAAAATACCTATTCACCCATATACTGTGTATTTATTTGTTTAAAGATGATATTTAAATAGTTTATAAATTATTTGCTTTAAATATCTCATGAAATTAAAATAAAGTACTAGTAGATGTTAGTTTAAGTCTATTAGTTTTAAGGATATCAATTAGCTTGTGTGTTCCAATGTGTCTCTAGTAAATCTGGTGAGCCTAAAAATAATTAATTTGGACACTCACAAAACGATGATTTGTTTAACACAACAGAAGCAGGACATGAGTTCCAGCTTCCACAGCAGCCCCATGGATTCCTAGTATGTATTCAGCATAATGGCGTAAATGCATAAAAAATGTAATAATTTTGAACATAATTAGGTGCTTGTCAATCAGAAAACATTTCTATGTTTTTTCTTGCTGTCAATTGCAGGAAAAATTATCGATAAAAGTTTTTTAAAAAACCACTGTAAGTTGCAGAAGCTGCACATGCTGCGCATGCATGCGAATCGGAGTCAGATTTTGATACAACTTTCCTTCACCTGCTTGCGGGTGGGCTACAGTTTGCGCTACGCATCATTGGTCACTACTAGTTGAATAGATTAAGAGCATATAGTTAGGTTTTGTTAAAAAAAAATTATATAAAATTTATATAAATGCCAAATGTTGTCAACCCACCTAAGCCATTTTTAACCCGCACAATCAAATTCAAAACCACCCAATCTGGCAACACCATCTTAATGATGTCAGATCCTCATTTTCCATTTTGGTTTTATAGAAAACAGGAAAACACCAAAGCCGCTTTGATATGTTGTGCATATGTTGCATATTTGATATGTTGTGCAGATGTTGTGTCATAAAACTGTGAGTAGAGGATTTTAATGGAATCCTAAAATGTATTTAGCATGATAAATACAGATGCTTTAGATTTTAGTTCGCATTTGTTTGGACTGAAAATCTGATAAATAGCTGACCTGCAATATAATGTCATCAAAACCATAGTATCATATTGGCAGAGGTAAAAGACTGTAAGTTTTGAATGCATGTATCTTCTAAATAGAAATGTTGTTATTGCTTTGGAATGTATTTGCTTAAAGGCAAACATATTCACAACAAATGGCTAAAAAATTACAAAGTTGATTTCATGGGGACTTATAACGTCTGTTAGTGGCTTTTGATGATATAGGTGATCAGCTCCCCCTGTTGGTAAATCTCTACAACTGCTCATTTATGAATTCTTGAAGAAAGTGTAAGGGCTAAATTTGATAAAACTACATTTTGTCCACTTATTCTAATTGCCATCCCAAACAAAAACACACACACAATCTGGGCTACACATATTTGTGTAAACTGGCTAAATTGCTCATTCAAGTTGGATTAACGCACTGTGAGTTTGCAGTGAATCTTCTCCTTTAAATATGTCTACTTATTTGTTTCATTTGTCGGTAGTCATCACATGACACAATGTCAAATACTCCATTCAACTGTATAGTGATTCATGTGAAATGATGGGTATCTGGTGGATGTGAGCTATCTCACCTGCCACCCAGCATCTGTCTAACAGACCCTCCTTCCTCTCTAGCACAAAAGACAGAGCGGTCAACCCCACAGCCAGATAAAACGTAATGCTAAAACGAGAAAGAAAAGCAGAAACAGTTTCATCATGTATTTAGACACTGTAGTAACACTTATCTGTGGTTGTAAGGGTGTGTATGTGCACAAATGTGAAAATCATTTCATTTATGCAAGTGAATATGCATGCGTGCTTACCTCAAAACAGCTCCTGGAGTAACAAATGTTGTGAAATCTGTGTTCTTACTGCCGTATATAGGTTCTTCAAACTACAAATAAACATTAAACAAAAATAGAAAGCCGTTTTAAAAGGAAAGAATAAGAAAACACAACAACAAAATATAAAAAAGAATATAAGGATAAAAAACTATTCCACTTGTTAAGTCGTGACGTATGGAATACCGTTTCTGGGACCCCTTTTAAGTCATATCACACTTTAAAGTGATTTTATTTTTAATGGAATCATGGTGTATACAACAGTGTCTGGACTTGTGTCACAGACATCAATATTTTAACAATTAATCACTTTCTGGCAATCTGATATTAGTCATAAATATATATATATATATATATATATATATATATATATATATATATATATATATAGCAAAAATGATTTTCAAAAGTACTACAGTGCTTTGTAAATGTTTATTATTACCATTTGTTGAGCCTCCCCATACAGTTTGATAGAGCATTGGATCCCGAAGTCAACGGAACTGCTTCGTGTGACATCAGACTTAACAAGCGGATAAAGTAAGAAAAATAAGACTTTAAACCACACACTGCTGCTGTACTCACTTTTATTGGGACAGCCACCATGTATGACATACTCCCCAGCCTTTTCTCCATAAAAGCCTTTTGAAAAACACATTTGAAATATTTGAATGATAGTACAAAGCTTAAATGTACATTTTTCAAGTAATTTACTCACCTCAAAAGCCTGATGGAGTTTTTTCTGTAGCATTAGGGCAATCTGTCTATCTGAAATGTTGAAATGTGACATAATGATACACTTTAAAATATACTTAAGCTTAATATTCATGACTAACTCATATTGATGCTAAAACTTAATAAATTATAAGCACGAAAAACAAGAAAGATACATGCTAAATTTAATGATGATCAGTTTTATGTTAGCGTTCAGCCTCATAAATTAACCTGTATGCAAAGTTTGCAAACATTCACCTATTAGGAAAAAGGTTGTTCGCTTGAAACACTACTAAAAAATAGAAAGCAGTGTTGTCTCAAGGCTAAAAGGGTGCCCTCGTGTGGCAGCAATGTGAGATTGAGAAACTCTAAAGCTGAGTAATATTCATTGACTAAAGATGAATAAGACTCACTAGTCAGATCCAGCCATGCATGTACAGATCCTCCTTCAACCACTTCTCTGGACACCCGTGGCTGCAACATCCTGCACATTAAACATTGGTAATACTTCATTCGTTGTGTCCTTGTTACACATTCAATGCACTTAACATATTAATCACAATAAATTATGCATTCGAACATGCAACTAACCCTAAATCAAACAATCACCATACCATAAATGTATATTTCCACAGTAAAAAGCAAATTAAATAAACATTTTTTTACACATTTATAATTCCAAGCAGCTGCTATACTTATTCAAACCCTAAAGAAAGGCAAAACTGGTGCGTGTTTGAGTGTGTGATATTGAAAAGGCATGACAGAGATCTACATAACATGTCAGGTGGACAGACTGACAGACAGGACAGACCTGCTTTTCTCTGCTTAAAAACACAGTGATTCACTCCTGTAGCCTCTCCCAACACTATGTTACAGACATAGTCACAAGACATGTCACCTTGTTTACGCACATCCTTGCATTTTTAGGCTAAAGGGAAAACACCTCAGCTGATGATGCAATGACTAACAAAGAGCTGATGTTTCATGCCAATTGGGAAAAAGTTTATAAGCACTGATTATTTTTTTATTAATCATACTGACTTCTATTTGATTGCATAAACATGGAAGGTTGTTGTGTGAGTGTGTTCACTTGGTTGAGTGTTGACTATTGAGGCAGGTGTTTGTCTGTGGTGTGAGATATTTGATCAGCTGGGGAAAGTGAACCTTGAAGTTAATAGGATGGATGGTTAAATTTGCATGTAAGAACAACTGTGACGCATTAAGAAGCATAGCAAAGAGACTTGATTGATAACCTAATGAGTTGGGGAATATTACTTTTAAGGGTAGTATATTACAATCTGCAGTCACTTACAAAAGCAACTAAATGTGTTAATTTATTACTTTTTAAGGAAAGTAATGTGTTATTTTATTTTTGCATTTTTTCATCTCAGCTGGGTTTAAGATTTTAATATATTACTTTTAAAAGTAATTTCTCCCAACACTGCGCCACATTTTCAATTTCTAATTCCTTAATGAATCACACTTTTGAACTAACCTGGAGAAAATGTATATTTCTCAAGGTGAGTATTTAGGACAGTGGCATTCTATAAAACAAAACATCTTCTTTCAGGTTGAACATTTCAAACTTGTAAAACACTCGCGCTTACCTTTTAGTTAAATAGCTGGTGAAATTCTCTCCAAACTCTATGACTCCCCAGTATTCCCCATTTCGAATACCATCAAAAGCATCTGAATGAGACAAGCTAACCTGCAGAAAGCAAAAAGGAAAGCGTTCTCCAATCTATAAATGAAGGCTGAAAATAAATATACACTTTCTATATCTATTTTAAATCTAAAATCTACCCTATTTTAAATCTGTTTTTGTTCCTCATTAATTTGTTGAAGTGATACAGAGAAAAGAGGAATTGAAAGGAGCCTGCAAACTTTCTATTCTTTTTTAAGATGCGTTCTAGAATTTCTTGTGAGATTTTTTTAGTTTAAGGGTAAAATAACATCTGCGGTAAACATGATTGAACAGTATTTCTGCTAAATGTATATTTATATCATATAAATGGCCTAAGATGTGAAGTTTGATTATGAGCAGTACTGAGTGCACTGTTTTTTCATTACAAAAATATTTCTAGATATAGTGACAATAGATGAACATTTGGTCTATGAATCTCTGCAGTTTATACTGTATATCAGAATCAGAGAGAGCTTTACTGCCAGGTATGTTCACACATGAAGGATTTGATTTTGTGACAGAAGCCTCTACAGTGCAACAGAATTTTAGAGACAGGAAAAAGAAACAGATATTTAAATTTGTTTCACAATTACTATTATATTTAATAATAATAATGATAATGTTAACCATAATAACATTAATAATGCTAACCAATTACCTTATTTTATTATTTTTATTGCAAACCACCATTTAAAACCCCATAAGGAAATCTTAAGGAAACCCATGGTGATTACTCTTCTGGGTTTCTAAAGTTATTTCTCCACCACTCTGTAACGTGCAGTCTTTAAATTCTGTGTTTAAAAACAAGTGTGTCTGTACCTGGTTAATACTTGTGTTGTCAAGAAAAGACAGCAGAGATCTACTGAAGGCACTGGGACTACTTTCGTTATTGACCACAGCAACATCAATGTTTTTGGGGTCTCCGCCAATACACAGGCACATCAGACAGATCTGAATTACAGGCAACAGAAACTGGAAACAGAGGGACCTGAGTATAAACCAGAGAAACACACAAACACACGCATATATAAAATGATTTGGGTTGAAACAGATTATCTGAACAGAAAGCAGCACATTTTTTTTAGCTTGTATTTTACAAGTTGTATTATAAGTTACATTTGCTAATTCTACTAAACGTGACAGCAGATTTAACTCTTGTGTATGTAATAAACATATGAGAATCAGGTAAACCAGAACAGTAAAATGAAAAAGTGTTTAACTGAACACTATGGATACACTAAGGATAATTTAGCTTACCAAATCCACCTACAGCGCATGTTTTTGACTGTGGGGAAAACCGGAGAACCAGGAGGAAACCCACGCAAACACAGGGAGAACATGCAAACTCCATACAGAAATGCCAACTGACCCAGGCGAGGCTCGAGTCAGCGACCTTCTTGATGTGAGGCGACAGCACTACCCACAAAAAAGTCTGTATTGATAAGACTTGTACTTGCAGCTGATGTGTTTCAATTTTTCAGACACAAAAAAACTAATTCGAAAAACAAGCCCACCGTTGTACACAGAAAAAGACAGAAAACTTACTCCAATTATAAATAAGCATTGATTAATGAGCCCAATTATTGTTTGCTCAACCAATTGGATGATATCTAGTGGATGTGTTTGCACTTTCAGTCCAACAAACAATGTGTATTCATGTGTTTCTGGAGGGCCGGAGTATAAAGGGAGGGCACCTATCATACGAAGCGTAGTATTATAAACACATCATCACAGTTCTGTCATGACAATTCATGGAGAGATTTAGTGTCGTACTGAATGGCAATGTTTATGTCTCTGCACTTGCTACTGCCAATATACTGTATTCACAAACATGCTGTCTGAGAATAGGGTGTCAGGACAGAACTTTTTATTATGTGATATCAGTTTAATACCCTGGCAATCTCCTCATTCGAACCATCGTCTTGATCATCAGTGCTGCAATGTTGCTCCATTTAGGTATGATGTGTCTGGCTCGCACTTTCCAGTCAGCTGTGGAGACAGAAGAATATTTCAACTACAGGCATCAGTTATATTGCTGATCAAAGCTTGCTTTGCTATTCTTAGTTATATTTAGCTATGCAACCAGATACATTTATATATATCCGTGTTGTTCAAAAGCAGCTTTCTGTTTGATTTGGTTGAACTACTTCTTTTTTTTAACTTCTCTCTCAGTTGTACCTTTACATTTAGGCATGTCTTCTGATGTGCTCTTTCTCAATATGGGCTCACGAATCTCATCCCTCATGCTGTCTGGAGATGGGCTGCTGTCCAGCAGACGGCCCTGAGGACTCTGTTTGGGGCCGCTTTGATCAGAGTCCTCACAAAGTTGCAGGAACGCAGTCTCTAATGTCTATTCAGACAGATCATATAAGTAATTATATTGATGAGAATCATAGAACATGTTCATGTACATTAGATGAGTACTAATTTATAACGACTTGAAACAATGCAATTGTTGACTTTTTTTGGGACAACTTAATTGTTTTGTGTTAAATCGACTTAAGTTTGCAAAAATTAATAAGTTAACTTAATTGCTTTATGCTGTCCCAACACAAATCGATTTTGTGGAATCCAGTATTCTTTACAGTGTACTTACTGCTGCATTATGTTGCTTCATAACAGCATCGGGTGGACCTTCAGCCAACAACCGACCATTCCTCATCAATCCAACCTACGGATAGAGAAACACAGAGTTTATTATCACTTACAAGTTTCTCACTTATAAACTAGAATACTTATAAAGCAATCAATCATGCTTCAACTTTGTTTTTAGATGATTTAATTACAAATATCCTCAAGGAAAATTAGAAACAGTTCAGATAATTATTCACTTTAAGAAAATAATATATGCACTACATGACAAAAGTCTTGTCGCCTATCCAAGTTTTAGGAACCACAAATAGTAAGTTGACTTCTAGTTGATCATTTGGTATCAGAAGTGTCTTAAATGAAAGTCAAAGAACTTTAAATTACGTTTATTTGACCAAAATAAAATATGATCATGACTTGATTTTTAATTATTTAATTAGGACAGTAAGGTCTGACTTTGCTTAGACAAAAGTCTTGTCACTTAACAGAAATAATGTACAGTATAGAATATAAAGTCATGGTGCAGTGGAAAAAGAATTAATATTGTGTATGACTCCCAATGGCAAAGAAAGCGTTCTTGCAGAAGTTTCAGATTTCATCAAGATTCTTTGGATTAATCTTCAATGCCTCCTTCTTCATCATACCCCAGTAATGTTCAATAATGTTCATGTCTGGTGACTGGGCTGGCCTATCCTGGAGCACCTTGACTTTCTTTTTTTTTTCTCAAGATCTTTAATGTGGAGGTTGAAGTTTGAGAAGGAGTGCCATCCTGCTGAAGAATTTGCCCTCTACTGTGGTTTGTAATGTAATGGACAACACAAAATGTCTTGATACCTTAGGCTGTTGATGTTGCCACAAATGCCACTCTCACAATCTCTCACACGCCCCCATACTGAATGTAACCCCAAACCATGACTTTTCCTCCACCAAACTTGACTGATTTCTCTGAGAATTTTGGGTCCATCAGGGTTCCAATAGGTCTTCTGTAGTATTTTTGATGATTTGGAATGCAGTTTAACAGATGAATCATCAAAAAAAAAAAAAAAAAAATCTACCTTCTGCAACTTTTCCAAATGATTGACTAGAAGTCATGTTATTATTTGTTGCTCTTACAACTGGGATCAATGACAAGACTTTTGTCAGGTAGTGTATACTATATATACTATAAATCCTTTTCTCTTCATCTACCGTCACTTCAAATCAAGTTATCTGTGCATGCGACTGGAATTTGACCTAAATAGTTCCCTGTATTGCAACTGTTAAGATCAGATTTGTTTGTACCAAGGGACTCTTTCGTGTACTGGAACGTCTGCATTGGTTTATGGCAATGACACTTCATTGGTATGCATATGTTAAAAACAAAAACAGAGTTTGCAATATGCATGACTTACAACATATTTTTATTAAAACATGATGTGGCTCTTACTCTGGATTATTATTATTTTTGAAAAAGTTTGGAGTATAAAGGCTTGTTTTACAGGAGTTAAATCTGAGAAACTGAAGACTAAAGTATAAGTGTACTTATTTGTATTAAATACCATTATATTATTGTGCATTAGGGGCATCACGGTGGCGGAGTGAGTAGCAGGATTGCCTGACAGCAAGAAGGTCATTGGTTCGGGTCCCAGCTGGGTCAGTTGGCATTTCTGTGTGGAGTTTGCATGTTCTCCCAGTATTGGCATGGGTTTCCTACAGGTGCTCTGGTGTCCCCCACAGTCCAGAGACATGCGGTATATGTTTAATTGAATAAGCTAAATCAGCCATAGTGTATGAATGCGTATGGATGTTTTCCAGTGTTGGGTTGTGGCTGGAGGGGCATCCGCTGCATAAAACATAAGCATTTATCTAACTTTCTTCTATTTGTTTACTAATATTTGCCTGAATAATTGTTATTTATTTGTTGCAATGGTTTCTAATTAAGTTACAAACCTGTTCCTTGTTTTGTCGATGACTCCCTGTGTATTTTTATTTTAGTTGTTTTGGGCTTTAACATTGATTTGTGGTATTTTTAGTAACTTTAAGTCATCGCGAGGCCATTGGAAGTAAGTTAAGAACCAAAGAACACAGAAGTACCTAAGATCTTACAAACAAGTATGTCAGGACACTAGACACACAGAAGAGGTGGGTAGTATTGTTGCTTAAGGAATAGTTCTCATATTTTTAAATCCACATCACTGTTCAAAGTTTCTGTTGCTTTAGGACAAGTAAATATGCGAATGTACTGTGAATACGCATGTTGTGATTGTGCCTTAGAGTCACCATGTCATTTAAGCATGTGACTCAGTAATAAATCAACTGACTGGCTGTGTGACTACGCAGTCACACACAATTATGAGCTACTCTGAACATAACAGGCATCATGCCCTGAGGACAAACTGGAAAAACAACGCTTTGAAGAGAAATAAAATATAACAATAGAGTCAGATGACTTCTGGAATGTGTTGTCTACAACCAGTGTCTTTTTTGATGTAATACACAGTAAAGACCATCAATTAGTAGTCAATGGTGTCAATATCAACATTGTGTTTAAATAAATGTTTGCTAAATTAGACATAGAAGCTCGTGTGTACATTTTTACCAAACACTAGTTTTAAGGTTATGTAATGAGCCACAGTACAAAGTTCATTTGGCGAATAAGCCACAACTAGTTGTTTGTCTGTTCGAGACACACACATTAACACAGAAGTCTTAGAATTACTAATTTATCAATATGCATTATGCATATCTATGTTAAATATCCTTAAGCTAAAATAATAAATGCAAAGATATTGAAATGGCTTGGTGGCTCAGTGCCTAGCACTCTGGATGCTCCGGTTTCCCCCACAGCCCAAAGACATGGGCTATAGGTGAATTGGATAAACTAATTGGCAGTAGTGTATGAATGTGAGTTTGTGGGTGTTTCGCAGTACCGGAAGGGTATCTGCTGCATAAAACATACGCTGAAATAGCTGTCGGTTCATTCTGCTGTGGCTGCCCCTGATAAATAAGGGACAAAGCCGAAGGAAAATGAATGAATGAATGACTGAATGAATGAAATTGAAATAGTTTCTTAAGTTATAAATATCTGCTGTATTTAGCCTCAGTATAATGGTCAAAAATGTATTGATCTGTCAATACTAATAACTTGCTATATTTCAACATGATGTGGGGTTAGGAGATAGTTTTAAATATGTTGCAGCAGCAAGGAATTAATTCTGACACAGCTGTGCTATAGGGCAGTTTGGGAAGGTATCTTACTGTATTGGCTTGTCTGGCCTCCTCGATGTAATGTGTTGTAATAATGATGGACACTTGTCCTCCTCTTACAATCTCTACCAGATGTTGCCATATCCTGCAGAAGAGGAAGTTTGCTCCATTAGTGCAGTGCTTTAAAAAAAAAATATATATATATATATATATATATTTACATGTTTGCATTTGCCTTTGTCCACAGGAACCTTTAACTTTTCAGTTATTATTAGTAATAATCCTCTGGAAATCCAAACTATAAAGTTAACATTCCAGGTTCTCAGATAATATCACAAGCAAGATTCAAACCCAATTTCCTTTGAATTTTCCAATGGGAATTTTATATTGCACAAAGTTCTAATGTGATTCCTAAGAGATCATGTGATATACTGAAGAATAGAGTACACTTTGTATTATTTCACATTGATTGACTCTAGCCACTTTCAAAACAATGAAATTCTCTCACCTAACCTGACACAAACTTTTGTACAAGTAATTTGACCTTCTTTGAATGGTACACAATGCATAGGTTAGTATTACAAAGAAAAGCTCCCCAAAATGATTGTAGGTTTAGACAGGCTTTGTTGTGTAAGAAGATTTCAGCAAGGTTCAACAGGTTCTCACTGAAATCTATGTGAACTCAGCAAAAAAAAATGAGCCAAATTATATGAAAAACTACATTAAGAAATATAGCAAACTTATGTCTCTTAGAATGTCAGCCTTTTTAAACACCCCCCACCGCACAATAAAGCTATTGATATTGACCAAACATTTCCCTCCATAATATGTCAAAGTATCACTAAGAGTTTTGCCTAGTAAATAAATTCATAGCAGCTGTTTACTTGAAATTTATTTAATGATGGCCTGATAGTGAGTAAATTAAATACAAACATTTATTTTTGCATAAACTATTCCTTTAATAATGCAAGTATGTGACATAGTGACCCTTTTTCCCCCATTCATATTTCTACTTACTGTTCTTCAACATTCTTTACCTCCTTTTGTTCATAAACTTCTTAAACAAAAAAAATAAAATGAAGATTGCCACTGAGAACTTAAGGCAAAAAGCTGCTTTCCCTGAAAATTTTTTAATGGGTTGTAATAAGGGGAAATCTTGAGCCTATAGAAAGCAGGATAATCCAAGGCATGCCACATACTCAAGACACACTTGCACAGAAAAATCAAACAAAGGCATGCAAGAAAAATTCAATGTGATTTGAGTGCCTAGATTATTAAGCATTGTGAAAGTTAATGAATAATTGTTCTAATTATAATAATTAAAACAAACCAATAAAACAATTTCTGAAAATAGTTTTAGTTGACTAGATCTGAGTATCAGTCTGCAGTGGAACGCAAGACACTGAGAAAGCTTTTAGTTTAAGAGGAATGTAATAATGGCACAGTTATGCATGTGCAAAAATGCTACGATCAAATGTCAGAGAAAGAGAGAGAGAAAGAGAGAGAGAGAGAGAGGGGGGGGCAGAGGGAGGTAGGAACAGGGTATAACAACAAGTGTTATGTTTAGAGAATGCAGAATAAAGTTCATCCCCTACTACATAAATGAAAGAAAAAGACTAGTATTGCTAGCAGTATGTAAAGGGTTATTAAAAGTGATGGGAAAAGTTTGTAGAAGTGTACATGAGAGGTATTTACAGTAATACATACTTGGCTCGCAAAACAGGGTCCACTCCTACAGTGGGCTCATCCAGGATCAAAAGTTTTGGGTTCTGAAGCAAAGCAGCTCCAAGAGAGACGCGTCGCCGCTGACCACCACTGAACAAAGCGAACAAAAAATGTAAGTGAACAGTTTATAAATATCACAAAAAAAAAACAAAAACGATTTTTTCAGTTTATAGTAAAAAAAATCACTTTAAAAAAATCAAGAAATGAAACACTACAAAGCCAAAAATTATAGACTGAAGTAAAATAAAATATGAAAAGCAAACTGTTAGCAGAGAAATACATAAAAAAAAAACTTTAAAATGCTCCATTTTTAAAAATCGACGGATGTTTTCTTGTTTTATTTTTTGTAATTTAATTAAAACCGATGTGTGAAGTTGTGAACTTTAAATGGCATTCAGTCAAAATGCAAAACCAGATTAATTAAAGTTTTTTAAAAGTCTCTAAATAAACATCAACTATTTAAATAAATAAGACAAATAATAGCAAACACAAGGCATCACAAGACCTAGCAGAACTCCTCCTTAACTAACCCGAGCTGTCAATGAGAACAGACTAGTGTGATCTCTAAGGCCTTCAGGGCCATTGTTATACTTTTCAGAAGGATGAGCCCTGCCTACAGCCAGCTCAGCGCTGTGAAAACAAAACCAGACAAGCTCCATCCATAGGACAGCAATACATAGCCGCCTTCTTGCAACCAAACTAAACGTCTAATGCTTTACATTCCTCGGCTTCAGTGCAAGACAATCTATGGTGTGTAGTTTCACTTTATAACAATAATAGTACTACCAATAATGAAATGTATTTTTAAAACAGTACATGCACAATAGTCATTTATAGCACTGGAACATTACTTCATTCTTCACTTTATCTGTAAATGTGACTTCAGTTTCAGACAAAAGCCCTCAGTTTCTAAAGTGCAGAAAGAATATTATTGAAAAGATTCTATTTTCAAGACTGGTACTGTATGGTTCTCCAGTTACACGTCTTTTGACTATGCTCTATGCTACGAACTGACAACTAACGAAGGCATATAGTCTTTTTTGCATTTAGTATATTTATTGTGTTTTATTTTTAAAGAAATAAGCCCCTGGAACCACAATTGCATAACAACGTCCCTTACATTCACTGTAAGCCATGTCTTCTTGGCCCATATTGCATTAATCCCTCATCTAGTTTCATTCAGCTGCAACAGTCTATATATAAAGCCTGTGGTCACATGAGCATTTAGTTACTGCATGGCCCCTAATAGAGGAAGCGTGAGAATTTTCAGAAAGAGAACGGCCAGATAAATGGATGCTGTTTTTTGCAAAGGTTTTGAATGCATGATGTCATTTGGCAAGCTCAGATGAGAACGTGCTGTCAGAAGAGTCTGAAAAACTGGGTCACACATGATGCCTCAATTCGTTTCATCGTCCTCCCTCCCTCAGTGTTTACTCAGTCTTGTTTAGTTTCAAACACATTCATTCATAACCCCAAAATAAAACAACTTTCCTACATGCCACAAACACATTGAGTTGGTTCTTTGTCGTATTGCTTCAGAATACTCATACTCTCTCATATATGATGTAATTTATTCAGTTTTTGTTGTTGAAGTATCAATTTAATTTAAAAAAAATGGCTTGCAACGATTGTGAAGTACGTTATTCTACCTGAGATTTTTGACAAGGCTGTGTTTCTGTGGCAGGTCCAGAAAATCGATGAGGAAACTCATCCTGGCTTCTGTCTCTTTAGATGAAAGGCCATGAATTCGACCGAAAAACCATAATGTATTGCTGATAGTGAACTCATTGTACAGAGCTATGTCCTGAGGGCAGAGAGAAAATACATGGGACTCTAGAGATTTCCCTTCGTTGGTAACAATCATGCATTATGCTTTATAAGTTCCTTTCAACTCTCACCTGTGGCATGTATCCCACCATCTTTCCTGGCACTTCATGTCCTGGGAAAGCTGGTGGCTTCCCCAACACTGTGATATGACCACGAGAGATCTTCAGAGTTCCCACGATGCATTTCAACAGCGTAGTCTTCCCACAACCACTAGGCCCAAGCAGTCCATAACTAAGGGCAGGAAACAAGAGTGAGAAAAACACATCAAGTCTGATAAGTCAAAACCTACTCTGTAGGTATATTTGAGCTGGTCAAAATTTCGGGGAATTACGAAAAAGTCTGTGCTTAGTCTAGGGCTGGACAATAATTTGACATCAATATTCTTCGTAATAAATAAATAAATAAATAAATAAATAAATAAATAAATAAAATAAAAATATATATAGCATTATATATATATATATATAATTATATATATATATATATATATATATATATATATATATATATATATATATATATATATATTTATATATATAAAATGCACAGCATAATAATTGAGTAGACCCCATTTTGAAAATGATTAAATTCAAGCAAAATATTGCAAAAAAAATTTTTACCTCTTTTTTTGAATTTGCATTTAATATTTTTCTATAACATAAATTTGGGTGTACTGGTTTTTGGACCGTTATCGTAAGTTATTTTGTTAGATAAGCTCCAGATTTGGCTTCAGTACTGACTAATCTAATGTATACGCACACACGTAATATTGTATAATTTCCTATTAAAATATTAATTTAAAAGAGAGATTTGTGAGGGGTTTACTCCTATATGCTAAGCACTGCATATATACAAACATGAAATTAAATGAATTACTTTTGGTCCCTTAACAAGTGGGAGGCACATTTGCAAGCTGTTGTAATTCCTACACCGTTCACTGAATTTGGATGTAAATAACCTCAAATTAAAGCTGACAGTCTGCAGTTAGAGCACATCTTGTTTCATACTAAACCCAATGTGTAGGTATATTGAGCCATGTTAGCATTTTGTCGATATCCCAATATTTAAGGACCTGACTGTATGTGTGTGTGTGTGTGTGTGTGTGTGTGTGTGTGTGTGTGTGTGTGTGTGTGTGTGTGTGTGTGTGTGTGTATATATGATTTTAAAGGACATTTCCAGTATTCCAATATTAAATATAGCGTTCGACCATGAATGACACAGTGGCGCAGTGGGTAGCACAATCGCCTCACAGGAAGAAGGCCGCTGATTTGTTCAGTTGGCATTTCTGTGTGAAGTTTGCATGTTCACCCCGTGTTTGCGTGGGTTTCCTCCGGGTGCTCTGGTTTCCCCCACAGTCCAAAGACATGTGGTTTAGAATGAATGAATGAATGAATGAATGAATGAATGAATGAATGAATTCAGACTTTGTACAGACATAATGGGCATTCTTTTCTGGGGCTATTAAAATATTAAATAGACATCAGAACTAAGTAATCAACAAAATTTAGAAATATGTTGTGATATAAATTTTGGCTATATTTTCCAGCCCTAGCCTCACACGCATCTCAAAAAGAAATGTCTTTCAAACAAAAGAGAAAACATTGAAAGGATCAAAAAGTATTTTAAAATGTTACTGAAGACTAGTATTTTGTCTAGTATTTGTCTATCACAAATTCCTGAAAATGTGTGTTGTTAATAAGAAAGGTTTCTTGTGGACCAAATCAAAATATTTTTTGATGGATCATGGGACACCCAAAACTGGAGTAACGCTCCAAGTGCATTTTTCCATTAGAGAAATAAATTGCTTTTTTAAATATTTTAAAATACAAGGCATGAATAAAAAGAATAGGACAAAGCATAAAAATACATGTGTCCCGAATCATTTTTTGTCTTTCTTAAAAATCTCCTTCCAATTAATGTTTGCAAGACCAGTCACAATGTTTTGAATGGAATTTCTGGAAAGCTGCAGTTTTACAAACATAATCTGATCCACTTCTTTTCAGACAGCTAAACAAATGTCAACTAAGCGTTACTTTAGGAAAAGGAAACAAACACTTACACAATACACATCGCTCGGATAAGGCTTATCAGCACTGCAGCAGATCATAACAATGTGATAACACTACAGGCAATGAGATAAGCTGATGTAAATCTCAATATTACATCAACTTCTTGAAGGGTTTTGATGTGATATATGAAGGCATGCATGTGACATGTCAGCTTTTAGGCAGTTTTTCCTGCTTAAAGTGAAAATGCATAATTGGCGCAGCATCTGTAAACACATTTCGAAACAGAAAATGCTGAACTCACATTTGACCCTGAGGTAATGTCAGGTTGAGATTGTTGAGAACTTTAAGTTTCCCGTATGAACGGCACACATCGTGGCAGTGGATTGCAGCGCTGAAACTCCCAGCCTCCAAGTCAGTCTTCATAGTCCCACTCTCCAAGCTCTACATAAAAAGAGAAGAATACAAGAGTTACATATTACAACAGGTTAATATTTAAAGAAACTAAGATAAACATGAGATTTACAATAGTTACTGCAGACTTCCTGAAAAGCATACAAAGAAATGTCTTTGTGCTGCTGTCTGGAACAATGACATGCACTTATATTGTTAAGATGAAACAAAATATGATGCCTTTTCTGTGATCCTTACATTGGTTTCTAAGAAACAGCACAGATTCTGCAACTGACCATCCCCTTTCCGGATGGAGCAAAGTGGGTCATCAGCACTGCAATCTGTAATCTCTCATTTTCTTTTCACAGAATCTCACCTCAATTGCTGCACATTTAAATCATAATATTTAAATCACAAAACACACACAAATAGTTTCCTAATCTCAGATCCTTGTGTTAGTGCTGTCTTAGAGAGAGAAAAATAATGATGATGAAGATTTGAGGATGTGTAATCAATGATTATTAGATGATTATTATGATGATTAGGCTTCTTTTTCCCCTTCTAAATTTTAAAAAATGCATTTTAAAAGTTACTACTACACTGTAAAACCCAAAAAGTTGAGGTAACTCAAACCATTTGAGAAAACCGATTGCAACAAACCATTTGAGTAAATAAAGCAATCTGAGCACAGTAAAACTCAATAAATGAACTCAAACCAATTGAGTACTGTAAAACCCAATAAGATTGAGAGGACCAATTTCGAGTTTGGGTAACCATACTAGACAATACTCACTTCAATTTACTACTGTGTAATAACATTAAATGTAATAATTTGATATATGAGCAATTCCAGCGTTATGCATGTGACATTTTCAGTAAAAACTCAAAACATAAAATCTCATAAAAAGCTTATATTAGTGTTATATTAAAACATCTGTTTATATTTTCCAAAACAACTAACCAAAGAGTAATAAGATAAAAAAATATCAATCTGTAGACTAGATTTTTTAATTAAAAATGTTGAAAATAAACATGCGTTATGAATGTGACCAAAAAGTAAATTAAAAGCAAAGAAATGCAATAAAGTTATCTGCACAACCCTTTCACATCTATGAGAAAAAAGCTTCATTGTGAATGTTCCATCTCTCCATTATGGATGTGACAGATGTGAAATTGGTACTTGTGTGACTTTAGTAAATCAAATATAATTGTTTGAAAACATTGACAGAGACATTTTTTACAGTACTGGTAAATACAAGTCTACATAAATAAATAAATAAATAAATAAATAAATAAACAAACATATAAAGCGTTTCACACTTTACTATTCTATGGCAAGGTTGACATTTGAATGGAATTGCTCATAACAGACTGTCCAGCAACAAACATTTGACTTATTTAATATTGTGGCTTATATTTAAAATATATTTTAAAAATTAGCATTGTTCTTGTTTTTGAAATAAACCATATAATAAATATAATATTTGAAAAAACAACAAGAAGTCACCAAATGAAGAAAACTTTACAAAAATTATTTTAAAAAACACACTTTTATAAAACTGTATACTCACAGAAATATTTATTTTAATACTTCAGTTTCTAATACTTAAATAAATAAGTGTTTTCTCCCCCAAAAAGATCAACTCACTTTATAGAAAAAGCTCTGGTTTCTGAGAACCCTTCCCCTTTAATCATCATCGACCAATGCTTGTACAGTTAAACTGCAGAATGATTAAGATAATTCGAAAATTAAACAGTTTAATAAACCAACCGGTTGTGTAGAGACAATGTGAAATCAGCTGACAATTGTGTTACAACACAGTTCTTTTGAGCAGCTGAACTGGTTTGGTTTTAAGTTTCTTCATTGTTTTGAAGAAAGCGCCTCCCTCTGTCACAGCACCTGCCTGGAGCTTCACGAGCTGTTTGCGTCCTTTAGACAAACTTTCCAACAACTTGGCTTTTTACATGAGCTCTTACGGGCTTTCAATTTAAATTTAATCTCTAATATATAACTAAAGACGATCATCTATAATACATCATAATCATCTATAATACATTTAGAAAGCACAAGTTACGATAAGATGAAATGTGTTTTCATAATGCAAGTGCAAACGAACGTATGTAAATTCTGCACAGCCGTTAAACTGGAAATAACCATCGACTCAAAAACTCAAAGATAAAGAGAAATTTTATACCAAGGCTTTAAATTCCTTGAAGAAAAATGAACAGTCCAGCTGTCCGGTCGGGAAACCCGCTGTTTTCTGCGGCAGCGTTATTTCATGTCAGGTGCAGCGATGCGCAGCGTTCAGTAACCGCCGGCCACAGGCTGTCAGTAGCTGCGCTTATTATTTGTCTCCTCTACCAGTTAATCGACAAGCCCCGCCTTCTGAACAGCTTGCCCCCATCACTAGCCAATCCGAGTCTGAGAAGCTATATAGAAGCAGTCTGTAATTGGACAGCTCAGATGTCATTCTAATACCCTAGCAATCGTGGAACAGTGACAAGTGTTGCTGGAAATCATAGAGGGAAAACAGCGCAATAATTTAGCCATCTGTAAAAACTGACTTAACGAGAGAACTATTTTAGGAGGATAATGAGATTTTTCAAAAAAATGTGTTGTTTTATGAGATTTGTTGCAATGAAATATTGTCCAGTGCTGCTTAACTGATGGAGTCTGATTCATTTCCGCGAATCGGTTCTTTTAAACGGTTCGTTTTAAAGAAGTGGTTCAATATCGATTCAGATACTCCTTTGCACCCGGGGCAATAAATTAAATTAACATGCTTTAATGGTGCTAAATCTAATAAAATGTATTTTATATGTACAGGTTTGAATAAAATCGATTTATTTTTACATAAAATTCCTGCACTGGATAACAAAGGAACATTATTTTACATATATTCTGATACTTAATTGTAAACATTAAAGGCAAATTGAAATATTTAAATACTCGTATTCCATATGCTTTCTATGACTATGAATGCAAATCTGATATTGAACGTTGACTAATTTATGCTAATATATCTTGTTTTTTAAAGTTTTTAATGTTCCAGTTCCATGATCCAGCGTAAACATATTAATGTAACCGGCAATAAAAATGAATATTGCAGTTTAATCGGTCTTTTGTATTTCATTTGTCATTTAATTTCACTGGGGCTCCGGCTCTGTGTTCCCCATATATTGTGATTTCAAACTAATTTGATGAGAGACAGTGAAAAATCATTTCAATTTACAAATTATATTTCCGATCTTTAAAAAAAAATGGTGAGTGAAGAACATTTTGACTGAATTTTTAAATAGATAAGTAAAACAATGTAAGCAATTAAAACAAGCCAAAACGGTCCACGGTTTTAGTGTTGTCAGACAGAATATTCTTCTAAGACTACTTCAAAATACTACAGCCTAGACTGACCATCTTTTTTTATACTACTTGAATGTCTAATGATGTTCTTTTTAAAATAACATTTTCTTAAGTTTAGTCAGAACTTAAATTATAACCGTGTAGTAATTATTCGTAAAATTAATACATGGTGATGATGTTACTCCAAAACTAGTTCAGTCGACTCAATGAAAAGATCCGACTCCAAAAGAACGATTCGTTCGGACATGTGTAGTTATTACATTCTGCCTCTGCGTCACCAGAAGACACTGCAGTAGCAAAACGATCCGTCTTCAGCGCTCCGCATTAACCAAACAAATAGCTATATAAAAACATGCACAGAATCTGTCCAACTATAACATTCGTGTCTAAAATAGCCTGCAGAATCATCACGTAGCGAATAAAACCTGCATCACATTTAACGCAAGTGTCGAGTTCACTCGTTCAACCTCCGCAGGAGCAAAACGTAAGCATAAAAAAGAGGAACAGACAGAACAATAACTCACTCTTTGCTCCATCTCCGTGCTGCCGCTAAGCGCTTCATGGGTTCCACTACCGGACATGATCACCGGGCCGGGGGCTCGATATGCTGCCGGTGAGAAGCTGCTGCTCTGCTCGGTTCAGTGCGCGCAGATGAGCGCGTTAACTCATTCTGCTCCTGACCAGACTTTAACTGCAATCCGCAAACGTTTAAGAGGCAAGTTTTAAAAGTGTAAAACACAGTCCTGATCACCTTAATGTTTTCTCAAGTGCAGAGCCTTCCCAAACGCTTCCCACTGGGGAAGAAAACACCCTGGAATAGAAACATGTTTGTTATTTGCATGAAACATGGATACTACCTGGCATATAATATAAAAAGCAGAATTATGGGACAGAAAATGTCACATATATAATTTATATACAAAGAAATACATTGGTACAGTTGCACTTAATGTGTACAAACAATAAAAGTAAAGAACAGAATGTACAGCAACAGGAACTCCCTCTTGATACACAAATCACCAGAGCAGCTAGACCTTTCAGATTGGCTGGCAATAAAGACACACAGCATCCAAGCAGATCTTAAATGCTGAAACCATCCAAAAAGGAACGAGTTCGTCAGGCTTTTTAGTTTTATTATTGTTAAACTTTAAAACACATACACAACAGAACAAACAAATTGATTTATACACTTTTTTTTCTCCAGAGGAACAGTAGCTACAACCCATTTCTATCATTAAGACACCATAGCTCTGTTGTCATATTCATATTATATCAGATTGTGCAAAAGATCTTGCTTAAAATAATACAGTGACAAGACAAACATCCAAAAATGCTGTTCCATTAATGTTAATGTATTTACAAACATGAACTAACAGTCAACAATAGTTCATCCATCTCTGTTAACGTTAGCAAAAACTTAATACACCTCAAAGGGACTTTGACATTAGTTAATAAAAATAAAGTTGTTTGTTGACATTTTGTTTACTCAGTGCTTTCACTAATGTTAACAAGCAAACTTTGCATTTATTAAACCATTAGTAAATGATAAGCTCTCACTAATAAATGCTGTACAAGTATTGTTCACGTTAGTAAATACATTTATTAAATGGAAACTGTAAAGTGTGACCCCAAAGACAAGTATAAAAGCAGTTTCCTTATTAAAGTTATCACCATTACATGACAATATTCTCTTTTTTCCCCAATGTGTGCTTGTCAGTTGTTGGAAACAAAATAAATAAACCAACTACACACAATAAAAATGAAAGAAAGAAAATGAAGGTGTACAACAGGGGTGTCCAAACTCGGTCCAGGAGGGCCGGTGTCCAGCTGATTTTAGCTCCAACTTGCCTCAACACACCTGCAAGGATGTTTCGAGAAAGCCTAGTAAGAGCTTGATTAGCTAGCCCAGGGGTCTCTGATTGGGGTTAGAACTAAACTTTGCAGGACACTGTCCCTCCAGGACAGAGATTGGACATTTCTGGTGTACAACAAACTAAAATGAATCAATTAAAGGAAGAACTGAACTTAATGACATTCTAAAAATACAAAGAAATTAAAAGAAAAGTGTGTGTGTGTGTGTGTCTGGTTTCAAGTAGTAAAATGTGCAATTCTGCATTTCACCTCTAAATGAAAAGTACTCACATTTTCACAAACAGCACTCTAAAATAAAATCATAATAAGCAATAATAAAAGGTTAATATGCTGGTCTAAATACTGTATATAAAATATGAAAGCCGCGTGTCCCTTTTGCTGAGAACAAAACAAACCCAGATTGAATATTTTCACATATAGTGGGAACTGCAGAAGTCAATAAATAGGCAGCTTTCAAATGATTAGCTTGTTATATTAAAGGTCTTCTTTTGTTTGGAAGAAAGAATAACTTGATTTGTTCTCTGTAGCTGTCGATAAACAATGAATGACCATGCAATGACTTTGAACTCGAAGCTTATTGGTTATGTGTGATTGGCTGCTGGCGTTAAAATGGAGGGGAACATTAAAACCCTGGCCTTCATGAAAGACAGGTCAGGGAGAAGTGAGATGACCTTTGCTGCTTCTTCGCTCATCTCTTCATCTGTTTCTGGTTTCCTGTCAACAGACACAGAAAGAATGAGAATTGACTCATTTATGGTCACACCCCATTTTAACCTTTTGAGCTGTGAACTAGCCGTTCATTTGAGCTCAAAAGGTCTAGGCATGTTAATAGTGTGTATATTCATGCATGCATGTTTTTCTAACCTGACTGTTGGTTTGGTTTTCTCTATAGACTCCATAAGTTTTGTAAATGCATCTGCAATGTTGCGACCAGTGGTGTTGTTCTCCATTTTAGCTGTAGTCAGTTCATATATCTCTGGATCAACACCTACATGAACAGAAAATCTCTTTTTAACATATATAAATGAAAGTTAAGATGGTTGAAAGTAGGATGACATGATCTTAGAGATGATGTAGAAAACAAAGAGAATCACTAAAACATGAGATTAAAGGAAGAAAAGCAGAGATACTCACAGAGGCAGTACTGTAGTAAAGTCCAGAGAGTGGAAATCAGGGACAGAATGCTAGACTATGAAGAAATGCTAGAGACGATAAGCTTACCAAAGATTGATTTCGAAATAACAGATATAAGGGGAAAGTAAAAAAAAAAGAAGGTTTCACTGCACACCAGTCACTTCAATTAGACGAAGCCTTTCTGTTCTAACCTGGTAGTGGAGTGTCAGTTTCACTATCTGAGCTACATTCATCCACAGGTCCAAAATAGTCCAAATTTAATTTGGAGATTCCTTCATCTTGAGCTTCAAATGAGAGCCACAGGTATGACAGCAGGACAGAGAGGGTTAGTGTGTTGATAGTTGATACCCACTATTTAATAACAATATTATATATACTGTTCAAAAGTTTGAGGTTGGTATAATTTTTAAAAAGATATTAATATTTTAGTTCAATTAGAAAGCATTTAATTCATCAAATGTGTCATTAAAGACTTTTAAATACTTTCAAGACAGT